TATTCATTTCAGAAAGGAAGGGAGAGGGAGATAGAAACGTCAATAATGAGAGAGAATCACTGATCGGCTGCCTCCTGCAGGCCCCCTACTGGGGATCCACAACCTGGACATGTGCCCTTGACCAGATTTGAACCGGGGACCCTTCTATCCACTGAGCCAAACGGGCTAGGGCAGGAGACACATGTCTTGTTACAAGATTCGGTTTCTAATAGTGTAAAGAGAGTACACGGAGAGGGACTCGCGCACTGGGCCCAGAGCGAGGGTGCTACTAGGAAATGTTGATGAACATGTTCATTAGATACAAGACGCTTTGCAGTGATGCTTCTCCAAATGTCCCTTAAACGCGGCGATGGTGGCTGCCTGTGTGCAGTGCTCTTGTGTGGTTCCAGCCCCAGGGAAGAACCATGCTCATTTCCAGCACTTTGCCTTCTGGGGATCACAGAGACAACTGGAATGAGTTCTAACTAGAACCCTCTCTTTGGAAAAAAAACACGCTCTGAGCAATTCTGCTGGGGTTCCTGTCTTTTTTTTCCGCCCCGGGGAGTGGAGAGCTGCCTCTCTGGCAGGCAGGCCTTGGCGATGGTGTCTCTCCATACAGACCATCGGCACCGCGTGGTGCAGCCGCTTGTGGTAGTCAGGTGAGCAGCGGTCTCCCAGGGGCCTGCGGGCATACCTGAGGATGCTTTGTGAAACCTGGAGTGTCATGAAGTTAAGAACTAAGGAGGATGCGCTCACAAGGAAGGCGTGCACTGGCGTGTGTGCCGGGGAACTGAAGTCTCTGCAGAAATTCTGTTTATCTCATACAGACACAGAGGAAACATCAGAGCGTTTCATCTTAAAGCAGGGCCATCATTTTAGCTTAAAAAATGCAAGCAGCACAGCACTCCCGCCTGCCATAAAGTGCTCCAAAATGCCAACTTTGAGAGACAGTTTCTTGGTTTGCCACCTCTGGGCTGAATTGGTGGTAAATTCTCCCTCAACATTCATGTCCTAACCTCCATACTTCAGAATGTGGCTGGTTTGGAAATTGGGTCTTTAAAGAGATGATTACATTAAAATGAAGTGAGTCAAACTAACAGCTTTTTTATGAAACACCATTTTTACTTGAAAGAACTCCCGGCAGATAAACTATGATGATTCAGGCTTAGCTATCTGGCACGAATTTCCTCAAATAAACGAAGTGAGGCTTCACTTTAAAGAAATCGACAGGACTGGTGACCCCAAATAACATCGGAGGCCTAAGTGAAAATCAGGATTTTGGAAAATGTCTCTCTGCCACTGTGACATTGACAGCTTCCCGGTGCTTAGACCTGCTATTGATGGCGATATTAACAAATGTGATTTTAAAATCCTGTTTAATGACGTGTTCAGATCGGGAAGGTCTGGATGATTCAGTGATCCACTATCATCCCAATGACTAGAGCGTGACGCTGCAGAATCACAGAGCATAAGAGACCCACTTCAAAGGGCAAAATAGACCAATGGATTGTAGCAGAACAGAGCACAGAAAGTGCTGAGTTCAGATCCCACACTGCGGCACACCCTGAAGAAACGACCACTTATTATGCTTTGAAATACCATCCCAGCAACACATCTGTAATGATTCGAAAAGATGATTGAAATGCTCCTCTAGCCCAGCCGGCATGGCTCAGGATTGAGCATTGGCCTATGAACCAGGAGGTCAAGGTTTGATTCCTGGTCAGGGCACATGCCCGGGTTGTGGCTCGATCCCCAGTGGGAGGCAGCAGGAGGCATCCCAGCAACACATCTGTAATGATTCGAAAAGATGATTGAAATGCTCCTCTAGCCCAGCCGGCATGGCTCAGGATTGAGCATTGGCCTATGAACCAGGAGGTCAAGGTTTGATTCCTGGTCAGGGCACATGCCCGGGTTGTGGCTCGATCCCCAGTGGGAGGCATGCAGGAGGCAGCCGATCAATGATTCTCTCTCATCACTCATGTTTCTATCTCTCTCTCTCTCCCTCTTCCTTCCTCTCTGAAATATATATATGTATAATTTTTTAAAAGCAACACTCCTCTACTTGTCAGCTCTCAGTTTCTGTGCAGCTGGATTTTCCTCATAAACTTAAACCAAAATATCACAGATGGATGCAGAGATAGTCATGAGGTTCCACTGTATGGAAGAGATTTGCAATGATATTAAACAATGCCATTCAAACATTTTTTTAAATGGTTGTTTATCATAAAACTGTCACTTATGTAAACATGTAATGGGTTTATTTGTTTGTTTGTTTTTGGTTATTCCTCACCTGAGGCTATTTTCTCCATTGTTTTTCAGAGAGAGTGGGAGGGAGGGAGGGGAGAGAGAGAGAGAGAGAAACATTGATGTGAGAGAGACACATTGATTGGTTGCTTCCCACAAGCACCCAGACTGGGGGCTGGGGGCAAACCCACAACCTATATACATGCCCTGGACCGGGAATAGCAACTCACACCCATTCATTGTACAGGCTGACGCTCTAACCACTCAACCACACCAGGCAGGGCTGATTTTTTATTTTTAATGCATGAATACACAAATATGTTTTGAAATTTTCCATTAAAATTAATATTCCAGTAAATTTGCATAGAGAAAACCCATGTAAACAAAACCTCTTTGTAATAATAATTTTGAGGAATATAAAGGAGTCCTGAGACCAAAATGTTCAAAACCTGCTGCTGCAGGCATTCATGGGAACATCACACTATGGCGCGTTCATGGAACTGGGTGAGCAAACCTGTGAGGGTCCTTGGCGAAATGCGTGTGCTCGAAAGGATGGGGAATAAGCCCCCGGGAGGTTCAGGCACATGCAGTAGCAGCGAAGATGTTCGGGCCCCACGTCTGGGGCATTGCAGGACACCCCGTACAACGTGGGAGAAAAACCTCTGCACCGGGGACTTCCCTCCACTACAGGGGACGCATCGTGCTCGGTGGTCACAAGCTCCATAGTCCATGTACCCGGTGGGCACGGCAAGGCTGCCAGCGTTGTTTGGGACGAGAGCAGGAAAGGACTCTACAAGTCCTGGAGACGTGGCCAACCTCCTGGAGCTGGGTGCTCCTGTGCTGGGAAGAGCCTCCGTGTAGGTCTGAGGGTGAACACCGGTAAGAGAGTCACAGTATGGACTCCTAGGTTCTGGCTCAAAGTTAGGCCACCTGCACAGAAAACACCGCGCCATTGGCAAAGCCGCTGGTGGTGTGCCCAGGCCGCAGTGGAGGCCGAGCACCTGAGCCTGAGACTCAGGTGACGATGGAATGAGATGAGCCGCCTCCACCTGGGTCCTTGAGGCCGCCCGCACCCCCCGCCCCCCATGAGATGGGCTCCAGGGGACAGAGGCGAATGGCAGTGGTCGCAGCAGAGCCGGGTCCAGGAAGCTCCACAAGCAGGTTGCCCAGACCACCTGGCCCCATCACCATGAGACCACCCGGCCCCATCACCCGTGAGACCACCTGACCCTCGGCTCCAAGCTGAAAGGGTGCAAGACAAGCTGGGAGCGGTCCCGGGGGCCAGTGGGGTCGGGGGGGTGGGCTGGCCCAGGCACAGGACAGCTGCTGCTGCTGCATCAGGGCCCCTCGGGCGGCCCTCGGGGTCACCTCATATGTGGCCCAAAGCAGGACCACATCAACGCTGCAGGCAGCCCTGGAGGGAGGAGTATCGGGAAGAAGGAGGGCTGTGAGGGTGGTGTGTGGATGAACCAAAGGGAATAGGCATAAAATACCTTTAAAAAAATCACTTTCAACATCCGCAGGGAGCATCCCACTGAACAGAACAGTGAGGACAGAATGGCTGAGTGGCGGGGACAGCAGCCTGCACAGGCCCCCCTCGCGCTGTGCCGCGGTGGCCGGGGGAGCAGCCCAGGTCCCTCTCTGTCTTCATTTTCTAACTCAGTGGGTGAAAAATAGCAGAGCCTTCAAAGCTGGTGAGAGCGTGGTGAGCGGAGCTTCTTATTCGTGGCCGAAGTAGTGAAAGACGCTGGTGGAAATAGGAAATAATTTGGGAGGAACTAATCTAGCGGGTCTATTAGAATGAACAGGGTACATGTTCCGTGATTCAGCAATTCTCCTCTGAGGCTCAGG